TAATTATGTAATACAGTTGTTTAATACAAATTCAACATTTTAATATAAATCAATTAGTTATATAACTATCTTTTTTGTATATTAATCAATATGAACATGAATATTCCAATTATTTCCATGCAATCCAATTTCTTACAAATCAATTAATTATATTTACCAATAATAATAAACCAAATAATTTCCCCCATATATTCCTCCAAACCACAACTTAACCATTTCTGCTTTCAACACAGTATACAATTAATAGTATCTCAATTATTACAATTCCCTAGTTAAAAAGAGCTTTTTTTTCTTTTGTGTTTTAAAATCTTGAACTCTCCTCTTTTGCCCTAAATAATTTCCCATTGTTTACACCTACCTTTTTTGGTGAGGAAAAGGAAAATAAATCTGCTGCCTAATTTTCCAACGTTGCAAGCAAACAGCAAAGCCAACAGCCTGTTTTACTTTCAGTTTCGTTTTGAGCTTGGTTTGCACAAAGAGAAAAAAAAAACTGCTGGAGCAATTTAGCAAGAGCAGAGCCCTGCGCAAATCAGCTGAGAGGCTGAGAGTGGGGAAGCCCAGCTAATCAACTAGGGCGGCCCTTTGAAGCCCCTCGGCAAGAGTTTAAACAGTTTTTTTCCCTCTAGCCATCAGCTGGGACTCAGGAGGCAGAATGAAAAATCGGGACTTTTTTAAAACGCCGCGGGATGCGGGACAAATTGCTCAAAAGCGGGACTGTCCCGCCAAAAGCGGGACGTCTGGTCACCTTAATTTATACTAACAAATGGAATAAAAGAAAGTGTAATGTAAAATTGAAGAGTATAATGTAAGAATAGTATCAGAAAACATACATAAATAGAAGTCACTTGTAAAGCAGTTAAGTCATGGTACAGACAGCTTGACACCAGAACATAACAAACCATTATCAACATAGTGTATTATTTCTTCTGGTGTTGGCCACTATGATTATTAACTGCAGCTTTCTTAGTGTTGTCCAAGAACCTGTTAACAGATCATAACTTCAGGTGCCAGAGATTGATCCTGAGATTTTCTGCAAGAGAAGCCTAACTACATGAACTCTGTTGCTTAGCTACTGTAGGAAATTGATTATTATATTAAATATATCATTTGAAATTGATTATTGTATTAAATATATCATTGGTGTGATTCTGCAGAATTCCTTGTGTAGACTTATGATCAGTAAACAATAACTACTCTGCTACTAATGAGTAATGAAATTTGCTGGCCCACTACTCCTGAGAAGGCTGCAAGAGTGGCTAAACTAAACAAGCTGAGAAGAAGCAAACAATGTCATTACATCTAAACAGGCTCCTGTTTTATCATCATTGCTAATAAACCAGAATCTAAAGCTGTGTGAAGATTGTTAGGGAGTCATTGTTGTTTTGTACATAACATGCTTTCTTGTGAACTTAGCAGGTTTACCTTTGCATGAGAAGTCGAATGGAGATGATTTAACAGCTTGCTAATGAACAATGAGGTGTAATAAATGGCAGAAAGTTCATAGATTATATATGATCAGTGCGTTCAGTGTTTTGTTTCTTTTCAGTGATTTTTCAGAAAAAATACTTTACTGTAGCTCTGACTGAGAAATTATTATTTTATTGATACAGCAAACTGACTCGGTTCAAAAATAAATTATGTGGATAAATTGGTACTCTTGTATTGTTTTTATCTTTATAAGACCTTTGTGTATCATGATGTCGTGAACTTTTTGGACTTATGGAAAATAACCCAAATAAGATCGAAAACTCCTTTCAGGTCTTTGACCATATACTATAATAAAATAAATATTAAGGACTTAGAGATAGTATGTAATGTAAATATATAAATAATGCTATTATTTTTAGTATTCTGTGGAAATTCTGGTATATACAGATTTTCAAAAAGCTGTTGGTTTACTTTTAGTTTGAATTGGCCCTACAAAGAATATACGTTAATTTTTTTCTTGGTCATATTTTTGGATGTGTGACTGCTTTGGGGAAGTATTTTTATATTCTAAAAATTCTCTGCCCAGCATTCTGTGGATAGAATAGTAAAATATTCATTTCTGCCCAGCATTCTCTGGATAGCACAGTAAAATATAGGCCTTTATTCAGTAGGACCTTTGTATTTGGAGGGAAAACCACTTCTCAAGGATTCTGGACAGCACACAATGATGAAGCAAAGAAATTGCAATAAAATCAGTAAAAGATAGATAAAACATGTGAGTGCAATGAAATGGGAGAGATCTCTCTCACACACTAAAGGCATCTATAAAGAGCCAGGACTTTTACAGCTCTTCTAAACTTTAGCAGAATGGTGACTATCTGGATCTTGGGGAGAACCTCATTCCAGAATGCAGATGCTGCTACAGTAAAGGTGCACTTCCAGTGTTTCTATAGATTACAGGTAATTCTCAATTTATGACTAGTCATTTAACATCTGTTCACAATGTCTATGGAGATTCTCAGTCATCCAGGTTCCGAAAGTCCAATTGCCTCTTGAAACAACTGTTTCACAATCATGATGGCCTCAGAACAGGTGCTTTATGGACCATAAAGTACTTCCAGCTATCATAAAATATTGCACTGCAGTCCCAGTCACATGACTGCATTTGGGGCACTGGAAACCTGCTCACATTTATGATTGATTGCCAAGTGTCTTGCAATCAGGTGATCACCATTTGCAATATTCTCTGCCAGTATCTGCGGAAAGTCAATGAGGATGCCGGCAGGGAAGGTTGCAAGCCGAGGGAGTATTGGATTTGAAGTCCATTTCCCCAGCATGCTGAGAGATTTTTCTTCCCCTCTGTTCAGGCAAAGGAAATCCTCCTGTGGACCGAAGGAACAGAGCTCAAAACTGACAAAAAATGCTAGTGAATGCCATAGTTCTGGGACGTTTAGAACACTTGGGTTCACTAGTATTTTCTCCTCTGGAGGAAAAAATGCTAACAAACACCATTATTCTGAAAGACCTAAGTCCTCTCCCTAGCACTCCACTTAAGAACAAAATCCAGGATTGCTTTCGTTGAGTGAAGCAATCACATGGCATTTGCTTAACAACTGCTCTGCTTAACAGCCAAGATTCTGGACCCAACTGTGGTTGTAAATGGAAGACTACCTATACATTGTTTAATCAAAGGAGTCTGGGAGTTTACCAACCCCTCAGAATTGAATTGGCTGAGCAGATGTTATGGATGCTATCTAGAGCTTTATAGGTAACAGCAGCAGCTTGAATCACACACAGAAGGAATCTGACAGCTAGTGCAGCTCATGAAGTAGAATGTGTTACATAAGCATACTGAAACATTATTGTTTGTGCCACTGCATTCTGAACCACTAAAATCTTCTGGGCAGCCCCATGTAGAGTGCATTGCACTTGTGGATATTAGTGACTGCCTAAAGAGTTCCTCAATCTAGAAAAGGGTGGAACTGGTACACCAGATCAAATTATGAAAAGGGCTTCCAGCCACAGTTAACACTTGCTTTTCAAGCAGGACCTGCAAATTGCATGCCAAACTTGAAGGGGGAAGTGCTATGCAATCCAAGATCCAAGATGAAATATCCATTCAAAGATTTGGGTGGCTATTCAATGTTGGTGGGATTGAGTTGTAGACAGTTCCTCCTCATCCAAACCCACAAAGCCTCTAGGCACTAAAACAGAACCTTGGCAGCCTCACTTGGCTCAGGGTCAAAGAATATAATTGGTAACATCAGCATACTGATGACCAGCAGTTGACTAGTTTGAGGGTGTTGGTTTGGGGGAAGAGAACTTCCTCCCTAGATCTTTTTTGTTTGGGTGGTCTAAGATTCTACTCTCTCACCTATCCTTTTCAAGTTGTAAACCCTTTCTAAGTAGTTTACAGGTCAGCATATTGTCCCCTACAATCTGAGTCTTCATTTTACTGACCTCAGAAGGATGGAAGGCTGAGTCAACCTTGAGCCATTCAGAATCAAACTTCTAGAGTGAGAAGTGAGTTAGCCTGCAGTACTGCATTCTAATCACTGTGCCACCATGGTATTGACAGAAGCTGTCAATGGCAAACCAGTTCCATATTCTTGCCAAAATAATTTTATTTATTTATTTATTATCCCACCCTTATTATTTTATAAATAACTCAAGGCGGTGAGCATTACTAATACACTTTCCTTCTCCTATTTTCCCCACAACAACAACCCTGTGAAGTGAATTTGTCTGAGAGAGAATAACTTGACCCAAAATCACCCAGCTGCCTTTCATGTCTCAAGTGAGACTAGAACTCACAGTCTCCTAGCTTCTAACCTGATGTTTAACTACTAGACTGGCTCTATTGTTGAATGGTAATGTCTGTGTAATCAGCAGAAATCAAGCTTTTTAATATTTTTTTATCTCTTGAAAAGAATCTAAAGGCAATTTTCAGTAGTCTTAATGCTTTACTTTAAGAGGGTGAATTTTTGTATTTTTTAAATTTTCTAGTTGTATGACATTTCCAAAATGACAGATGAGATGGACTAGAAAAGAAAATTTGCTGTTGAAGCAATTTGTGTTGCAGTTCCCAACAAGTTGTGTTATGTGCTATCTTGTGAATCATTCCCTTGTTTTTGGCATTATATTGCGTCCAAATTTTATTTTGTTTTTAACTTTAAAATAGAACTGTGGAAGGCTTTTGTTTTTCAGACTAGCAGTGCTAAAAAGGGAATATTTTAACACAGTGCCTTTTTGCTATTTATATGTGATACTGGGGAGGAATACAACTTTTAGCCAAGTGATTATTAGGACTTCCGCTATGTGAAATTGCTGAAGCAAGTCTTCTAGGTCTGTAAAATGTTAAAACTTTTCTTGCAAACATTAGTAAAAAGCAATGTTAAAATTAAAAATATTTTAAGCATGCATTTGGAATGTTCTATCATGGCCATGTCAACAAATCCATTTATGGTCAGTGGATAATAGATCTTAGTTTGTTATACCAACAATTTCTGAAATTGTATAGATTTTTAATTAGTTATATTATGTAAAGTGATCAATATTTTTCTGTTTTTCAGGCAAGCCTTTCACATCTAAGGTGAAGCAGATGCGATTGCATAAAGATGACTTTGAAATATTGAAGGTGATTGGCCGAGGTGCCTTTGGGGAGGTAAGAATTAGAAACTGTATGTTTTTGCACCATCTGTAATAAAAATTTACTAATACTGTAGAAACATAATACATATAATTAAATTGCAAAAGACATCTTTGAGGTTTCTGATATACACTATACAGTACGTAGTGTCATTAGATTTAATGATACATTTGCCTTTTCATGCTATAGTTTATAAGTCTTTTGCATTATACCAATGCCATTTGGTCTGGTATAATTTGTTAATTTTTAAGGGATTGATAGGTCAAAAATCATATGTGAAGGTAACCAACTATACATTATATGATTGAGAAGATCATATACTATGAGATTGTATTATTCAGAAAGTTCCACCTTACAAAGAGTTTTTCAGTTTGTATCTGTTTAGTAGGTTGTGATTTTATAAAGGAAGTAAAAAGGCATTACCATCTCTCAAATATCTGTCAGAAAAGTTACTGAACACAATGAACACAAAGTGTCAATTAATGGATGATATTTTGGACCGCAAGAATGAGCTGAAAATTACTTCCTTAATATCCAGAGTTCTCACTTGATAGGTGAGCTGCCCATTCACCTTCCTCTTTAACCTTTCCTCTTTTCCCTTAGAGGTCAGAATGGAGAGGATTTCTCCATTCAGTTTGCATCTTCCTTCCAAAGCTAACCATTGTCAATTTTACATCAGTCAGTGAAAGAGCATATGCTCCTTGCCTCCTAGCGTGATACTTTCTGGATTCTGATATTAGCACTACTTTGGCTCCTTGATGTCTGTCTGCTGAAGTAATACATTGGCCAGAGTTGTTGTAAATGGCTTCCTTGATGTTACAAGATATCTGTTATTTGAGGTGCAGTCATAGATTGAGTGACATTATGTAGAAAGTAAGGAATATGACCTTGATGGAGATGTACAGAAACCAGCCCACTAGGCCAAAGGGGCTGAAGCACTTTTTTTAAAGTCCAGAATAATGAGATAATTTTGAGAAGCAGCTGAGGTATATGCATTTCTGAGTCACTGAAATATAAGAAGAACGAGGAAGTCCAGCACAATCAGGCTTGCAAAATTCTGTTGTTATAGCTAATCTCAATAGAAATAGTTTTAGCCTACCTGTAGAGTTGATTTCCAGGCCTGGTCAGTCTGGATCAGGGCAAGGTTATCACTAATTTCTTACTGTCTGTACAATATCTATATTGTTTAGCATGGTATCCTCAGCTTTTTATGAAATACAAGTAATTTTAACTTACTAGTAAATCATGTTAGATGACTGTATTTTATCCAGGGTGGATTTGATTTAAATCATGATTTAAATCACTAATAAAAACGGTTTGATTTAAATCAACTCGATTTAAAACATAATTTTTAAAGAGCTACTGTCATCTCTCTCCCGCAGCGGCTCCTCCTCTGACCTGCTGTTGACTCACCAACAGTCCAATATTGCAGAATATACAGCCTCATGCTACATAACTAAGCTCCATTTCATGCTGAATAAACTAAATTATTAATATATCTTAAATAGAAAATTATCTTTAGATAGATTTTTACTCCAAAAGCATTTTATTAAAATAAATTTGATAAAAATAAATAAAAAAAAATCCAATTTAAATTTAAAAAATTCAATTTAAATTTTAAAAATCCATTTTTTAAAAAAAAAATCATCGATTTTTATCTTGATTTTATCTCTACATATATATCAGTAATTATTTAATCAATTTAAATAACTAATATGTATTAGTTGAATTGCTGGATTAAGATTAGAGAAACCTAGGTTTATACCTATCCATTGAAGCTAACTGGATGACATATATTCAGTTATTATTTCTCACCTCAGAGTAACTCATAAATCTATTTTTCTGATTGCCTATTGCTGTGTGGGAAAAGACAGGATATAATCCAACAAAATTTACTTCGATAAAATATGCTGATAGCATCTGCCTAGGCCTAGCTTTCCTTCTGAGAACATGTACTTGAATTCTTAATTACCACATAAAATCTCTGTTTTTAAGATCAGCATTCTGTTTATTTTCCTCTTGATACAAGCCTTGATTTCTAAAACTACATACTCAGGTTTGGCAAAAATTCAGTTAACAATATAATTGTCCCTACTTTCTCCGAAGGAAAGAAACGGCAGTCAGATTACAAAAAAAAAAGTTAGTAAAACTTTGCTACACTCCCTCTATAATTATGTGCCTCCCTAAAATAATCTATAATCTAACAGCAGCACAAACTTCAACTGAAAAACCTTAAAGTATTGCTTTCAAGCTGATTCCAATATAAAATAAAGTTTGCTTTGGAGATATATGTATAAATGGTTTGTGAGGGAATGAATTCTGATTTTTAAAGATTATTCTTGTAACTTTCATTCTGCATATATGGATATAGTTTACAGGGAAAGTAAGTCTACTGTACAAGAACGGAACCTTTTCTTAATTTAGAATACAGCTGTCCAGTTTTTCATCACTTTAGTTCAAGGCAAGGACAGTTTGTGCTAGTCTGGATAGACAATGCATATCTGCTACTGTTCATGCCAAATAAATGCAAAATGGCTAATACTCTGGTTACTTCCTGCATTTTTTTAAAAAAATCCTACACAAGAAGCTATAGGAATCTATTAGATTTCTTTCCCCCTCAGATATCTTCATACATTAAAATATTTGAAGAAGGAAAGGCAAGTATGTTGATGTATAAATACACAAGAGACCTAACTTAGTAAAGGAGAAATCATTTGACAGCAAGCCAGATGGCAATAACTATTTGTGGGAAATATGGAAGAAGAATTTTGCCTTTTCCCTTTCCTTCAAACTAAAACCAAAATGTTTATATCAGCACATACCACAGATTTTTAGCATGCTATTCATGGAGGAAAATACACTTCTAAAAACATTAAATATTCAGTTTTAATAAATCACAGTGGCAGACTTTTTTGAGAGGCCAGGGAAAGTATGTGGTTATCACTTTATATTTCTATTCTATTTGCTGTTTCAGCTATCGTGTGCATATGTGTGTGTGTGTGTGTTTAATAGTGATATTTATGTTTCTTTCAGCTTCTTAGAGATGGATGCTATTATTATAGCATTTTATATTCCATAAAAGCCAGTACTACCATTTGGGCGAAGAAGCCGAAAACTACATGGCTGAGATCTGTTTAATTTGATAGTTTAATAATGGAAACTCAAAAATACTTTTTTTCTTGCAGTGTTTAATAGTATATGTTAAAATTGTGGGAAAAAGACCCAAAGAAAGGTTAGGATTAATTGATTACTAATTCTAGATCAAAGCTTTAAGCTAATAAGATTAGTAGCTACTAAGAATTACAGTAGGTATTTAAGCTAATAAGAAATCTCACAAGACATAAGGTTTCTGTACATTGGGGGGAGGAGAAGATTGCAAGCACGATAGTTAGCTTTGTTCTATGTGCGTGATATATATTGATTGGAGCACGCACAATTATGGATGAAATTTCATGAACAATACAGTTAAAAAAACTTATTCATACGTCTTAATTACAGTTTCAAAGTTGTGCTTATGTCAGTAGTATGACCATTAGTTTCTAATGATGTATAGGAACAAATATCAGTGTAGGGGCTACTAAATTAAATTATTATAATTCTAAATTAATAATCACTATATAAATTAAAATTTGTTGTTCTCCAGTTATAATGGTTACGGTTAAGAGGCATTCCTACCTTCTAGTTTTGGATTTGGTCATATAAGCTATGATTTCACAAGTTTGAGGTGTAGAAATCATTTCTATTTTTTACAGTTTATTGCATCTCTGTAATTGAGTATTTGTCATGCTCAGTGTGAAAGTGCTCATGATGCCAAGACTGAGTTAATGTTGATTCACAATGCTGTTTTGCTCTATGCCAGTAGTCTAAGCAACAAAAGCATGGATAGTACCAATGGGGAGAAGAAAAGGAATTTCAAAAGGCAATTTTAGATGTCTTTTTAGTCATTTTAACCATCTTGGTTATTTTGATTACCTTAGTTATTTTACAATATTGTTGAGTGATTCTACTTTTTATGTTGATTAAATACTTTTCTATGTTGTCTACCACCTACTATCTTCAAAATTTGAATAATTTATAAATGCCAGTTATGTGCTTCCCATTCAAAAATACAAGGATGCTATGAGCCATCATTCATACGCTGCTGCTGTGACAACCAAAAACAATTGGTCCTGGAATTAACAACAAAGCAAAGCCATGAACAAGTGACAGGCTCCGGTTTCCTTTTGAAGTCCTGATGACCTGAATACAGAATTGCCCAGTTCAGCCACGCATGACTGAGGAAACTTCTGTTGTTTTATCAATTATTTTTATTTTTATTATCATTTCACACAAATTCATGATTTAAGGGGAATCAGAGTACCATAAAGTTTTAGATCCTTGTGAAAATGAAACATCTTTTCCCGCATTTTATTCATGAGTTGCAGGTTTCGCTTACTGAAACCCCTTATAGATTGAAGAATGATAGGCTCCAAATACCTTGTCCACATACCTTTTGCAGTATGGAATTCCACCATCAGCTGTATTAGCTCTTAGGGTAGTATTTGATGCAATGACATTTCAACTCTTGTTGGATTTTTATCTTATTCTTAATTAACATGGAGTAATGAAAATTTGAAAATAGCAAAACAATTCATTTGTTTGAGGAGATACCGATAGATAGATAGATAGATAGATAGATAGATAGATAGATAGATAGATAGATGATAGAATTTTATCTGTCTGTCTAATGTATATAGTTGCTGTCTCATTGGGTGGGAGGAGTACAGTTAAAGGCAAAAGAAACAATTCTGTAATTAAAAACATGGATCAGTACTATTAATGACAGAGTAGTAACAGAATTATTGTTGTGGGCAATGCAGCCATTATAGTTCCTCACGCAGTCAGCCAGATATTCAGACTGGATTTGGCATTTTTTTCCATCTATCTAGTCTTTCCCAAGGATCTGGGGTAGGCAGATGTTGATGTTTATGGTGTTTCAAAGTATTGTCGCAGGATATAATTATTGTTAAATTTATTTGCCGCCTATCTCGCCATAGGGTTACACCAGGCAGCTTACAACAATAAAAAAATGGGGAAAAAAAGGAAGTAAAGAAATAGAACAATAAAATAAAGAAAAAGAAATATATCATATATCAGTATGATCATCTCACTAACTCACCATTTCCCTGAGATTCCCAAATCTGTTGACACAACTATGTTTTGGGGAATTCTGGAAGGATGTCAAGGATGGAGTCTTAGGGCAAATCCCATGTCAGAAAAGTGTTCTTCCAAATATTCTTCAAGGGCTGCCCCATGTAGAGCACATTGCAATCATCCATTCAAGAGGTGACAGTAGAACAATCAGGAGGTGACTAGGGGATGATTGCAGAACCTCCTGATCCAGGAATGGGCGCAACTGATTTACAGTATGAAACTGTGGGAAGGACACCTAGTCACGACTGCCACCTGCTCTTTGAGCAGGAGTCACAAGTCCAGGAGGATTCCCAGTTTGTGCAACAGCTCAGGAGAAAATAGCAGACAAGGAATGCAAACCAAACAGAGTCTCTGAAAGATGTTTTTCCTAATTAGTTTTGCTTTTAACATGAGCACACAGAAGGATAGTAAAAATTCAGTTCAAGGTTCCAGTAGTCAGGTCAAGGATATCAGTCCAGATGTCAGAATTCCATAAGCAGTATCCACATAATCATAACACAAGAGCCAGAGATCAGGCAGGAACAAAGGATCATGGATCAGTGCTGTTTCTTAAATCAGGATTGCGTTGACTTTTTTGGCAACTGCATCACTGATCATGCTGACCAGCCTCTGGTGATTCTTATAGATCAAATAATAGCATTAAATGATACTTATTTTTTATTGTTTGTTGAGCAATATCAAGAATGTCACTTGTCCTGAAATGCAGAAATAGTGTATAGATATGAGTTGGCAGCTCAAAGTGTTTAAAACTTCCTGAAATATTAGAATATTAGATGTGCATTTTATAAAATCATAAGACTATAGTAACTGTTTATAAACTGCTTATTAGAATGCACTAAATTAGATGTACAAGAAAATAAGACATCAGTGTCAATCATTTTGGAATCTACTATATAGTTTTTAGACATATCTTTTTAGGAGGAAACAGAAGGGGCGGAAAATTCTTACATCAGATAATATTGGCCCTTCTTGGATAAAGACAAAGAAGAAATATCCCAGTTGTACTTATATAAGTTATATTACTGGAGCTGCATTAGTTAAGGCAAGAAAGCCTGAAAAAAAATAACAGTCTATTTGGTAGGATTGAATCAAGATAAAATTGCTGTTCAATCAAGCTTTATCAAATAATGTATATTAGACTATAAATTAGAATCTTTGAACTGTGCTCAGTACATGGCCTTAATTAATCCTTTGGAGGGGAGACGTCAGGTGAGGATGTGAGTAACTGATTTATATTATCCATAATTATTTCGGCAGCTGAAGGCTTTGATGGTATTTTCTCTATTTATTGTAAAGTAGAAGCACTATATTTTCAGCTTTATTTTTCTAATCCTGATTATAATTACTTGTCTCCTGTTGATTTTTGCATGTGTTTGTTTTCAAATAATTGTACCATGTTGATTTAGAGATTGAAGTTTAGTAAATAAGAAAAAGGAAAGAGCTAAAAATGATACTATTATTCTTGTGTTTGGGCATCTTATCAGAAAGTTGAGTAAAGTGTAGCAAAACTGTCAGACACAAAATTCTTAGGACATAAAGACCCTCTATGTATAGCTCTGCATAACTAGACTCTCATTTCCCCCTCCTTTTTTAAAAAGCTTGTTTGAGATTGTCTTTTCTAATTTTTTAAACAGTTTCTTTTAAATTTAAACATTATTTTATTTTCTGTATGCACATTTCTAGAAAAATAAATAAAATGACCGCTTTCATAGAACAAAATGTAAATCTTTTAAATAACTAAATATATTAGTTATAAATATACTTTAATATCCCCGTTAAGAAATCTTAGTTAAATGTGAATTAATTACATGAATACATAAAATGTAATGTAACATAATCTGTTTTGCTTATGAAAAATGTGTACTTTTGAAGCTTCCCACCATTTTTCCTTTTTCTCTTTTTTATATTGAATAAAAATAAAATAAGCTCACTTTCGCAGTTACATCTCTCTGTGTGGGTACTGTGTTCTGTTTGGTATGTGTCTTTGACATGTCAGAGTCATGTCAAAGACAATTTATGATCAAAGTATGAACTTGTTATTTGAGCTCAAGCTTGGACTAGAAGATAATATATTATATAGTTCTTTGGAATGACTAGGTTTATTATCCTCAGAACTGAATTTTACTAAAACAAGAAAAATGATCAATGTTGTATTTAGAATAAAGGTTCCCCATGTCTCCCCCACCTCCCCCCCGGTCACTTATTTTAAGACTTTATATTATATTTATTGAGAGGTAATTATTGAAAGGACATGCCTGTGGCAATGCTTTCACTAAAAATCTCCCTACATAGCAATGTCACCATGTGTCTTTTGCTTCCACACATATAATTTTCTATACAGAAATCCAGATGGGCAAAGGAATTAAGAGCCTTTTCAAAAGGTTTATGTATAATGGAGACAGCAGGAGCCACAGACGGATTGTCCTCTTAAATTGTATAGCTGTACAACAAGTTTCAATTGGCAGTTACCTGGATCAAGGTCGGATTTGGTTTGGCTTGGGCCTAGATTTGAACCTGCTCGGGCTGTCTTAGAGGCTGAAGTAATGGGCCAGATGATGGGCCATGCTTGTTACCCTGGCTGTGCTAACCATGTTTGCCATGCCTTTGGGCCTGGTGCCGACTGCGCTTACTGTTTCTGTGGCCACTCTGTGTAGTGTATTCTCTCTGCTGTTGGCATTTCTCCTCCAATGGATTTTTTTCCTTTGTAGAGTTTGCTGGCAGCTGTATTAGAAGGCTGGTTGGAGGGCCTTGGCATGGAGGACTGGGCATTTGCGGCTGGTTAACATTGCTGAAGGACACTTAAAGCATGCCAATAATGGAGGCATTTGCTTAATTGTGTTCTTTTTATCTAATTATAGGATTTTTGTGGGGAACAAATGAATTTTTCAGTCATATTTGTGCAGAAAGGTCAAGAGGGTTCACAAACGTTTAAGCTCCACTATATAGGAAAAATGTTAAAAATTGTAATATATTCTGTCTGTTTTGGTGAAACACGAGTATTGCTCCATGTTGATATACAGACAGTCCTTAACGTATGACTGTAATTGAGTCAGAATTGTACTCATAAGTCATGGCGGACATTAAATAGATCATCATGTGATTGCACACAATATTATGACCTTTTTTGCAGTGGTCATTAAGTGAAGACTGTGGTTTTTAAGTTAGCACAAAGGTTGTTAAACTGGTCCATTTTTTCCAGTGGGCTTTTTTGCTAGAAATCAGAAGTAAATACTGGAAACTGGCAAAAGCCACCAAAAATCATGGTCATTTGATTGCAGAATGCTGCACACAGCTGTAAATGCAAAATGGTTGTCAAGTACCCAAAATGTGATAATCTGATTGAGGTGAAGATGTGTGGCCATCAGAACTTCAAAAATGGGTTGTAAGTAGTTCTGGGGAGGTCCGTCATAGCTTCAAATGGTTGCTAAACAACTAGTCATTAAGTGAGGACTACCTGTATTTCTTTATAACTAAAATAACTTGTGGGATTATAAATGCATCAGCAGTGGCATTCTGAGACATTAATATTTTATGCCCACTTTTTTAAAAACATAATTTAATTTTTGCAGGTTGCTGTTGTGAAATTAAGAAATGCAGATAAAGTATTTGCCATGAAAATATTAAATAAATGGGAAATGCTGAAAAGAGCGGAGGTAAGACTCAAGGAATGGTCAAGTGGCTATTACGTTTGTGATTTTTTTTCTCTTTTAATTAGAATCTGAAAAGCTTGAAAGAAAAAAACCAGATTATTTCTAAATGCAATATATCTTAAAAGAGTATGAAATATTACAATATGTTGCTGAAATAGTTTTCATTTTCATAATTTATTTCTGTTGAATGGTCTATATCAGTGATTAACCTTTTTAGTGCTGAGTGCCTAAAGCGTACGTGCCCAAACCCCCAAAATGCAATGCGAGCACACACACACACCCCGCAAATGTACCCCGGCCCCCCATGCCCCGTTTTGACTTCCAGGTTGGTGCAGGAGACTTTCCAGGCCAAAACAGGGCACAGGGGGGTTGCGGCATCTGTTTGGTTCATGCTGTTGGATTAGAATCATCTGCACAGTGTCCAATAGATGATTGACAAAGTCAGCTTTTTAACAAGAAATTAAATGCTTACTGTATTCCTACGTACTTTTTTGATGCTGCCAAATCTGTTTGGGAAGACAGCCATCACTTACTTATTGACCTTTGCCCCTTGTAGTGGTTTAAATCAAGATGGAAAATCATATTAAATAAAGATTTTTGATACACCAAAAAAGTACTTCTGCCTAAATTTATTTAATTTTAATAGGAAAAAACCTGTTACATTTCTTCTTTGAGTTTTTTTTACATTTTTTTTACATTTCTTTTTAGTTCTGGTGGGATTCTTAATTGTGGGTTCTGATTGTCACAAATATTAATTCCATTATAACAGTACAATACAGATCATTCAATGAATCCAACTGTTGGTAAATTCAGAATACATAGTCTCCTACCATAATAATTGTCTTTTCTCTTATATCAAATTAATTAAGAGAGAGGAAAAATACCATTCTGATGGTGTTTTTACTATGAATTTACTATGTGGCAACCCAGGATAGGGTGTTTTTGATATTAGTACCCCGACTTGAGACATTAGTAAATAATTATTTACTTAGACTTTTAACTGAAACTGTGTATAGTAGCTGTGTTTCATGGTTCTTGCCATTCTGGTTTTTAATAAGCAGCTGTAGCTTTCCAAGAACTAATGATACACTTTTATGACTTAAAAGTAATTTTATTATTTTAGCCACATTTTATCCTTGCTTTGGATTATCATAGTTGCAATGAAAAATTAATTTTTATATGGCAATCCTTTTTCCTCTATCTTCAGTATTATTGTTTAAATAAAAAGAACTCTAAATGACTCTATATTTTGCTTATAATAATTATATTTATCCTTTAGACAGCTTGTTTTCGAGAAGAGAGGGATGTTTTGGTGAATGGGGATAATCAGTGGATTACAACATTGCACTACGCCTTCCAGGATGAAAATTATTTAGTGAGTATTACTTAAAAGTAATCTTAGAACATAATGTCTAATTTTAATTTACCTGTTTACTGATAACTAAAATAGTTAAGTGGCAAATATGCTGCCGTGCCACCTATAAGCAGTTGTTAATCATTCCTATGAATAGACAAAGAGGTATATCTTCTGTATTATCTGCACACAATTTCACGATGGAGAAAGCACATCAAAGCACATCACATTACTTCTAGCAGGATTTAAAAGCCACAAGTGGCCAGCTTCTCATGGCACAAGAAGTTAGTCACTTGTGAAGTGCTAGAGTAGTGTGACCCAATTATTTTTTAAAAGGTTATGTTTGAATATTATGTATGAATGTAATGACAGTTTCAAACATCTGCCCGTCTTATTCCTTTTTTTAAAAAAATGCTGCAGTCAAAATATATCAAACCTTAGTAATATATGATCACAAGAAATGATGAGAGTGGATTTTTTATAAATCAACTATATGTAAATTAACTATACTTTTAAAGTTGCCTTTTTGTATATTTTTGAACAGAAGCATGACATTTATGTCTCACTCCAGTCTCCCAAGTGATTAGATATTGCTATGCTTTATTTTTTTTATTTTGTGGCAGGTGACAGATAGATATAGAACAATAAGCCATAGAATATGTTTTGTTAATAGCAAGGCATTTCTATAGTGTTTTGCTCCAGCATTATTGCACTTCTAATATAGTCTTTCTCTAGAAAAGAAAAATATGGGGATGAGCAAAGATTTTGAAAGAGGTGTTATATAATGATAATCATACTGAGAAAGCAGCTCTTGGTCTTATCCTGTTTGTTATATTTAGTGCATATTTGTTTTTCTTTCAAAATTGTTTTCTATACTCCTAGTACCTCGTTATGGATTATTATGTTGGTGGAGATCTGCTTACCTTGCTCAGTAAGTTTGAGGATCGGTTACCTGAAGAAATGGCTCGCTTTTATTTAGCTGAAATGGTGGTAGCAATTGATTCTGTACATCAGCTACATTATGTCCACAGGTAATTATTATCAATAGATCATACTTCCCATTGTGAATTAGTCTCTGCTGTTTTAATTAAAGTGGTGTTTATAAAGAATTAAATCTTTAAACATTAGCTTAATGAGGATAGTATTATCTATTAATATATAGTGCTTTTGACAGAAATTGATGAACAATTTTGTTGAAGATTTTTAACATATGAGCCTTTGTCAAGTCAGATTGCAAGTCATTTATAGCTACAGCCATATATACAAGATTTTCATTCATATTTCATTAGCTTCATTACTCTAGAATGAATACATTAGTTTGCATATATGTTTCAAACAAGTGGATTGGTAGTTTTGTGAGATAAATATGCAATTATAAATAGTCTTAAACATTCTAACAATATTCTAGTGTATTTGTATTGCTCAGCACAATATATACAAATATAATTTTTAAATATTTTCTTGGATTCCTTATATAATAATTAATTTGGATATGTACAATAAACAGCCAAAAAATGAAGTTTTGATATGAATTTCTGCAACTAAATTTAGGAGAATAATTTTTTTTCTTATTTTCAAGAGAGTGGATTATGATAATCTAATTTATCATGCTGATTATAGACCAGAAGGAATTGATAACCTGAAAGATTCAAGATATATTAGAAGTCTAGTTATGTACAAAATGCACAACTCTATATATCTCTTGCCCTACTTTTTATACTTTATTATGTATAATTTTTTATTTTGCTTGTTTCTTTCTTTGTTTATTTGTTTTAAAGTGTCACCTTGTTCTGGATAAGTTGTATTCAGGTTCATATCTTTAAAATTCTCCTGAATCATATTTTCTGCTGCTTTGCCCCTTTTATTTGTACATGATTGATGATAAGGCATAATACATTTTCCTGTAAATTCTTTTTGTTTTGTCAAGTAAAAAACAAACGACTAAAATTCTCAAGCATCTGATGTTGCTATTATCTTATTTTATTTAATACTTTGACTTATGTGTTTTGCTACAGAGCTCCTAACTGGAAATATATACATACATTTAGCTGAACATGCTTACAAATAATTTTGCATATACTTTTCAGAATGTTTTGGTTCAGACTTGCATACACCTCAATGTTTTTTTCCTTGTTTACTCGGTTGTACAAAAGGATCTAGAACCCAGTCTTAGGAGAAAGAAATGAAAATCCTGGACTTAGTTTGAACAAGGAAAACTAAAGAAAGACATGGTGGCTTAAAAGAAAAGCAAAGAGGAAAATAAGAACTAGAACTTCAGAAAAGCACGTCCCAGAAAAACTTCAGAAGAAACTCCATAAGAAGAATAGGGAAATAGATTATGTGCCATCATATTGGCGTCAATATTTAGCAGTCACATAGATTTTTTTTGGTATGATGATCTCTCTAATCTTGTCCTTCATGTCTTACAATGATATACCCATCAACACAGTCCTGTTGGTTGTCTTCTTCTCCCCTTCCACCTTTCCCAGCATTAGAGCTTTCTTCTGAGAACTGGCTCTTCACATAATGTGTCTGAAGTAGGAGCTGGATCATTTGTGCCTCAGAACTTTTGACTTGTTCAATGATCCATTTGTTTGTTTTCTTAGCTGTCAAGGGTATTCTCAGCAGTCTTCTTTGACACATAATTTCAACAATATCAATACTCTTCATATGTTGCTTCTTCAAAGTCTAACTTTCACTTCCATAGGGTTCTGACCAGGGGTGGGTTCTACTTACCTTTACTACACCGTTTGCAACGCGGCTGCACGCATGCTTCTGCGCATTCACAGAAGCTTCCTGATGACGTCGGGGTCGGTGGGCAGAGCCTCCTGCCGGTTTTACTACCGGTTCTTGCGAACTGGTCCAAACCGGGGGCAACCCACCACTGGTTCTGATCAGAGGTGGTATTCTGGAGAACTGATAGCAGAAATTTTGAGTAGTTCGGAGAACTTGTAAATACCACCTCTGACTGGCCCCGCCCCCATCTATTCTCTGCCTCCCGAGTCCCAGCTGATCAGGAGGAAATGGGGATTTTGCAGTATCCTTCTCCTGGAATGGGGAGGGAATGGAGATTTTAGTATCCTTCCCCTGCCACACCCACCAAGCCACCAAGCCACGCCCATCAAGCCATGTCATGCCCACCTAGCTACGCCCACAGAACCAGTAGTAAAAAAAATTGAATCCCACCACTGGTTCTGACCTTTTGTAGGTATAAGCACATTGTAGCATCTGAATACTTTTTCCAAGGCCTTCATGACTACTCTACCAAGTATTGGTCTGTGCATATTCCTTGACTGTCTGTTCCTTTATTGTAGCATCTGAATACTTTTTCCAAGGCCTTCATGGCTACTCTACCAAGTGTTGGTCTGTGCATATTCCTTGACTGTCTGTTCCTTTATTGGTAGATATTGGTAGATATTAGCCTTTTTCTTTGTCTGGAGATATTTAAATGCAGCCAGGCTGCTATTTGCATCCAATATTGTAATTTCCGCATTGAGTAGAGAATTGAAAGAGAGTAACTCCACAATGTCTTTTAACTGAGGGAAAGAAAAAAAATATTATAACTGAATGACAGATATTTTTAGTCATTTCTTCAGCAGAATGATGTGAAGATTGTGACTTTTTAGAGCCAGAGTTTTTAAAATCTGGCAAGAAACTATTGTAAAAACAATATAAACAAGGGAATCCATGAATATTAAGAACTAATTATTATATTGTATGGAAGAGAATGAAACTGAAAAGAGAGTTAATGTAAGGGGGGGAAACTGCCTTCCAATTTGTCTGTATATTGGAACAGAAATTTTGTTACCACAGGAGTTTTCCTTTTTAAGCAGTTATTTCACTGCTACAAGTACATGCCAGTGTAATATTTTCCATATTCAGATAGTTAAGTATTCCACAATTAGAATAACAACTAGTTAGATTAGGTCTTTGCAGGCATGCTTCTTATTTTGCTTATATTTTTTTCATAAGACTGCCTGTGCTTTTCTATTTTTTTTGCAACTTTGCCAATACACTGTATTTTCCTGTTTCACAAATCTCTTTATATCCAAAATGACAGTTTTTATCACTTGGATTTCAGTTAACAAAAATCATGTCAATAAAGCAAGGTTTTCCCCCCTCAAAGATTTAAATCTGCATCCCCCCCCCTTTTCCGAGATACATGACTTATTTCCAGTTTATTTTATTTAATAAAGCTGTGCTAGTAGAAAGAGATGAAAAAACATATTGCCAGCTGTGCTGTTTTCTAGAGAAACAAACTGGCAGCTGCCCACTTACCAAAAAGGAAACATTTGCAGAATTATTAACTGAACTGCAGCTATAGTGTTCTGACAGCTTCCAGGGTGGTTTCTGCTGATCTTTAATATAAATCAAGTTCATGTGGGACATAGTATAAAAGGAATTGCTAAATAGTTAGCTTTCTAATTTTCAGCCTCTGTTTTGTAACCACACATTTTAAGCCACATATTAAGGTTTAAGCCACATTCAAGATAACAATGAAAATACTACTAAATTCAAGGTAATAAAAATGTATCAAAACTAAAAAAAAGAGTGTCTAGTTTTAAAATAATGATCAATAAAACTCCAAATCATAATAATAAAGCAACTAATTAAATTGGCTTTTAAGACATTTCTAAAGTCCTGCAATAATGGATTTAAGACTTGTCATTAGAAAATCATCAATTTAACAAAGGGAACTGTGTATTCACTTTTAAACAGAGCACTGAGATTTTTTTTCTTAAAGTAGGCTTAACTTATCATTACCATTCTACTTCAAGTAAATAGAATGATGTTATCATCATTGGAGTAGAATGATGTTATCATTCTACTCCAGGTAAATCTGAGTAACTTTATTTCCTAGATAGCTAGAATATTTTTCAGAGACTCGTTAGATGCTCCTAATGCTCATCCCTGCCCTTCAAGAAGTGGATTACTAGATAAAGGATTGCTGGTTGGTTATTAGTGGATGGATAAGGGTGAAAATGCAGTGATGCAATGTATAAGGAAGAATATGGTTATTGTTTAAAAATTAGTCAAATTATAATTACTTTTTGTGTATGTTGTTAATCTAGCAATTATTAATGAAAATAAGACAAAAGTAAGAATCAATTGACAGAAAAGGTATAGTAAATTATTATAAGTAATGACTAAATGGACAGCTGCATCTGAAATATTTCCAAACAGAGAATATCTAAGAAGTGGAGAAAATAAAATATAAATTCTTACAGTAACAGTTATTCCACTCCACAGCCACTTATCTCTTTCAAAGGGACTGATTTACATAAACTAGACTTTCCCTTTGCTGGGATATTGGGAGGATGAATTAAAAGGAAAAACAAGTCAACTCCTTCTTAAAGAACTTTCTTGTTCACTTGATCGTTGTCCTTTTCATATTATTGTAAAAAGCAGAAATAGGCTAACTGTCTGGGCTCCAAAGATAATATTTCTTTGTGAGTTGGATAGATCTGGCTTCTTTAAAGAAAGTCATGATCACATTATTATGAAGAAATTATTTTGATTTCATTTGGGGTTGGGGAGAATTTTCCATAATATGGATACCACAGCACAGAAGGCCCAGAATAGTAAAATCTTTAGTTGAAAGGGAATATGCAGATAAAAGAATATAGATATAATAATTGTGTGAATAACTTTCGATATATTATAGTACTGATAGAGGGTTCCTTGGTACTCTCTAAGGCTGGTTGTTTTATTGCAGATATTTCATTATTTCATTATTTATTTATTTATTAGTCCAATTTATATGCCGCCCTTCTCCGTATTACCCAAACTAGGTAGCATCATCAGTACTGTTAGGGAATGGGGTTTGCTCTCAATTTATAATCTAGTGGCTTGCCCTATCAGTGTTGGTGGGAGTGGTCTTAGTGGTTCTTTGGTTGGATTGTTTATTGTTAGCTTGTTTAACATTTCCTTCATTGGGGTATTGTTTACTTCTTGATTGATAGTCTGATGTTAATCTTGGTGTTAATCTCTGCTCATCTAGGTGTTGATTGCTGGTGGGGAGATGTTTTTT